GAGACATAACTCTTCACTAAATGAGCGTATAAAAATGATTACGGACGAAACCGCCATAAGTTCAAGAGGTCAGCAAACATATTTTAAGAAAGTGCCACAACCGCGAAAATGTTATCGAAGTTGACAACACTTAGCTCAAGCTACGTGTGCAAGTTTATGGAATATAGTTTAGGTAGATATTAATAAGACAAAAAGGAATTAGGACAATATAGCAAACCAACCACCTGAAATAAAGAGACTCAGATTGCAAGCACGCGGTTAGTAAATCGAACGCAGCGTACTTACAAACGCTGCACCGGTTCTGCCCACATTCTCTGCAAAACCCGTCGTCGCTTCGATGTTGGCCTCGACTGGCCTCCCGCATAGCTCACTAGGCCTGCCTGATTCAGGCACTCGTGACCGCACGTACTACAGCACCATGCGCTCGATGTCGATGGAGTACAATTCATAGGTGCTTGCCTCTTCCGCACATGCCGCTTCTTCTCCGTATGCATGAGGGCTTTCTCCTACACCTCGGCAACTGCCTTCGTGGTGAGGTCGCGCCATGCACGCCGAGCAATCGCCTTCGATTCCCATGACCTGCAATCAAGATTAGAACATGAAAGCCTCACATTGATCATGTTCTGGTAACGCAACTTCGGTTTCCCCACATGCAGCTTCCCAATACTCAGCTGACCGTATAAGAGTTGTTTCGGTATCCGCGTCGAATCCATACGCCACACATGACCAAGCCAACCAAGGTGTCTCAGCAAGAGTATGCAGTCCACTGCATACATACCACATTGGCGCAACACTTCCGTGTGCGCAACACTGTCGCCCCAACCGATGCGCAAAATCCGTCGCAAACACTGTTGCTGGAACCACTCGTGATATCGCACATCCCGCCAGTACGTCGTCCACGTTACACTGCCGTAGAGAAGAACGGACAGCTCCATGGATTTGCACACCATCAGCTTTCTGTCAACGGTAAGCTGATGGTTGTTCCACACTCGGTACTCAAACTTCCCGAATGTCGCTGCTGCCTTCGACACGCGAATACGCAACTCAACGTGTAGCTGCTGATCAGTCGACATCACACTCCCAAGGTAGCAAAAGCGGGAGGTGGTTTCCAATATTTCGTCACCATTA